AACGATATGGGAGAAAAGCATAAATTGCGTTTATACATATTTTAATGGCGACAGTTTTAATACGAGATAGTAAAAACTTCTTATATAAGACTTTTGGGTTATATTCAGTTTAATCCCAGGAAATTTTGGTGGTGATTACGTATATTCCTTACCTACTCAACGAGCGGAATTTTAATGACACCACTCTCGACCTGCCTCGATTTCCGGTTGTTGAGTTACTTCCGGCGCCTTCGGTTTTAGCAGTAATTTTGTCTAGTACTTTACTTGTGGTGTAAATAGCATGCGAATTTGAATCTATTCGAAGAGTGTTTGACAGCAGTCTGCACAGAAAACGACGATCTACGCCTCAAACAATTAACTTTCTGTGTTGTTCTTGAAAACTTGAAAAACAACCGCCTTTCTTTGAAATCTGCTATTTATGTTAGATAGGTTAGGTTAGGTTAGATTAGGTTAGGAATCGTTTACAAAAATTGCATATTTCTTTACTAAATGGTGAATCGTCATTTACAATAAAAAAATGAAAAACTTTCCGTTTCTTTGATGTCTGCTGTGATTTTTTTTGTTAGTTTAGAGTAGGTATGTTAGGACCCGATTAAAAATTACATAAAAAAAAATGTCTAAAATTTTTCTGTAGATTTTTTAAAACGTTTTCATTAAAAAAATAAACAAAAAACGTGCGGTCGTTTAGGTAGCTTGGGACTTCTGTCATTTGACTAAACTCTGCGTCTTTCTTTAAATGTTTGTCAAAAAAATATAAAAAAAATTACGGTCATCTGGGCAGCTTGTGAGTGGTGACATTCGACTCAACTCCTCGAATAGATTATGAGTAGGCTTCGGAATGTTTGTCTGTCCGCATGTAAAACTGCGTAAGAGTATCCCGCATTCCCGCGGCGGGATGGCATGCTACTGCGCAAACGCGAGTTCTGGAACGTTTTCGGGAAGGATCAATGCCACACGTAGCAGGGGCAAGAAATACACGCGTATATAATGCACAAAAGGTGCTTAAAAATACGGTTTATACTTTCATTATAGAGTTTTATAATACCGAGCCCTGCGTTGCCGCACAAATTTCCGTACCCTAATCATAAGTATATTTAATTCACGCCTGAAATCTCCAAGGACTAAACTGAACTTTTACCAAATTTTGATTAAATGTTCCGTAATATATTTTAATATTTTATTATTTATCCAATTTGGTCAAGTTCTATGTCAAAACGTCGGACACAAAAAACTGTATTTTTGAACAGAATGACACATTTGATATAATTATTCAATCTAGGCCTGCCACAAATTTTCAATTGATTAATATTTTGGAAATCTAATTAAACATTAGGGTAGAGCAATGGAAAATAGATTAATTTTCTCCCTCGTATTTTTTCTCCATCGCATCGCTTACCGGTTTTCCAGAAAATTGAACTATGTAGTGTAATTGTATATCTGCTACTGCAGTGCAGTGCACAATTAAGGCGCTTCTTATCTTGATAACGTGTCACATGCAGCCTAACTTATCAAATCATGACTAAAGTTTTCCAGATTTTTTAAAACGATTTTTTCGATTTCCGTTGACAGTGCGTTTTTGTAACTTGAATTAAATATCACTCTTTTGACCCCCTGAATTTGTTCTGAAAGTTAGTCGGTATAATTTATTTACAGCCTGTATAATACAGATATACGGAAAATGACCATTGTAATAATAATTCATTGTTATTTACACCACTAAGTTTATACAGGGTTGTCCACTTTTTTATGGCATTGCACTGGTAACTTCCAAACCATAATAGATACAATGTCGTTAAATTAAAAAGAGAAGTGAAAATAATTATTTCCAATTTATGTATATGAATCATATACGGCGTGTTTCACGCTTCACGATCGGATGCTGCAAAACCTATTAAACGTTTTGGAAGAACTATAAACGATATGGAACTGAAATTTATACCTGGAGGTTTTCAGGGATCACATCTAAAATAATGGCGACTATTTGATATACCGGATATACTTCTGGATATACCGGTAGTGGAGACTAACCTCGTTATTTTAAGTGGCCCACTATATTTTTTAATCCAAATTTACTTTAATTACTTTGTCTATACATTGTCTATCTGTCTCTAAAATGAACGGTTTGTGAGATATAAAAAATTGAAGTTATAACCACTTGAAAATAACACAGCTACACAACAGCCCAAAAACTAATAATGTCGAAATATGAATTCACACGATTTTGAAGGTAATTCAGACAATCACGGGATAGACTAAGAAGGACACTGTCGGGTAAAAACTCCATCACGGCACACATTAAGACCTCCTCAATAAGTTCTGTGCATTTGGACGCTATCCCATCTCTTCAGTCCATTTCCAGACTCCGTAAGCCACAGCTTTACATTTACGCTTTTGCGGGTTTTGCGTGCTTCACCTCTGTGTGGGTTGCCACAACTTGCTTTCATCCTTTGACAACTGAGGCACTCCTCCAGACCACATATAGACCGACCCCTCCACCCACCCCCTCTGTTTCCGCCTATACTGTGCGGGTCAAAAGTCCGTCCCCCCTATTATTTTTTGAACTAATTGTCAGATTCACTTGAAACTTGGTGTGGTTACATAAGGCATAAAATACTATCTCATGGAGTAACTCTTAGACAATTTACCCTTAAAACAGGGGTGGGGGTGCAAAGGGGGAAATCTTAAATTGGAAGGGGTGGCATGCGGCACCTCATTTGAAAGGGATTTTTATGGGGAGTATCACGATGTATGATTTTTTATTATTAGGCTAATGGTTTGTGAAATAATGTACTTCGAAGTTTCATTTTCCCTAACAATACTCACTGTTTACAAGAAAGTTAAAATTAAAGATTACTCACCTTTTGTAGCGAAATTTCCACTTCTGCTTTATTATTAATGCAGCAGTTATTTCTACAGTTCTTCTACAGCCAGCTATTATTTTTTGGCGGAGATCAGCTAAATTTTGCGGTGGCGTACTGTACATCTGAGATTTTAGGTACCCTCATAAAAAAAATCTAAGGGGGTGAGGTCCGGAGACAGTGCGGGCCACTCTGTTGGGCCTCTTCGTCCTATCCATCTATTCCGATAATAATGGTCCAGAAACGCTCTCACAGGCCGTGTGTAATGTGGTGGTGCACCATCTTGTTGAAACACAATGTCGTCTGTGAACTCATCAGGATGGGCTTCTGCGATTTCTACTATAATAATAATAATAACCCCTATAATTACTCCGATGAGTAACCCCTTAGGTCATCTCAGGGATCCGTGCGGGAAGCAGTGGCCATTATTATTATTATTCGCCATGGCGCCCTGGGAGCGACTTAAGATTATTTCGGTAACGCATTTGCTTTACAGTTCTGAGGAAACCCAGAAAATTCAGAATATTACCAAAACTAGGGTATGTACGGTTGTATTGGCATATATGCATCCACACATATACTAGTGTATTAGTGGTTGCATATCAAGTCCTGACAGAGAAAGCGAGACAATTAAAAATCCTCTTCCCCCGGCCGGGAATCGAGCCCGCAACGCGCACAGAGGTATCGCGACTGGAAAGACGGTGCTTTAACCCACTCGGCTACCCGTGCCCCATGTAAGATAATAAGAGATAATAAGAGGGTGTATTAAGTCCTCTATAATAGCTAGGTACTGTTGGCCGTTGAGATTGCCTTCAATAAATAGAGGTCCCACGATATGGTTACACATAATGCCAGCCCATACTTTAAGCTTCTCTGGGTACTGTGAGTGCCCTTCCCGAAATACATGAGGATTCACATCTGACCAGTATATCATATTTTGTCTATTGACTTCCCCATTTAGGTAACATGTGCTTTCGTCCAAAAACATTGTAGGTACTGGATTTTGTAAGGGTGGAATTTCTGTTTACGCAGTACTCTTTTTACCGTAGTAGCTGAAACACCACGGGTCCTAGCTACGCTTTCTGTTGTCTGTTGGGGTGTGACAACGATTTCGGCCACAATTTGGACTTGGATGTCCTCACCGATAGTTGGACGGCCACTACGCGGTTTATCACCTACGCTCCCAGTGGTGCTAAATTTGGAAACTAGCTGTCGAATGTATTTTCTAGAAATGGGTTTATCCGGAAACCGTTAATTGAAAATCCTTTCGGCTTCATGGTAATTCCGGCCGGCTTCAGCCCAAATGAATATAGCTTCTGTTTTTTTCATTTAAAGTACGTTTATCCATACTTTAAAGAAAAACAGTGCCAAGCCACACTTTAAAGTCGAGATCAAACTGTAACTGTTCACCAATTAAACTTTAAACTAAAGCAACTACCAAAAAAATTGTATTCAGTCCGCAAGTAACACAAATAGTCCAGGAACGTTATTAATTAATGAGTTTATAGAAGGCTTATAAAAGAAACCAAAGAGGTGAGGTGTAGAAACCTAAACCAAAGTCTAAACCATAATTCATTAAATTGTGGCCACTACCACTGTTGACCGCTTGGAATATCTTTTAAACGTCCTTGGACTATTTGTGTTACTTGCGGACTGAATACAATTTTTTGGTAAATTTTCAAGTTTTAAACATCGACTCTACATTTGTCAGGAGGTACAAGGCGAACATTTCGAACAACTGCTGAATTAATAATAAAGCAGAAGTGGGAATTTCGTTACAAAAGGTGGGTAATCTTTAATTTTAACTTTCTTGTAAACGGTGAGTATTGTTAGGGAAAATAAAACTTCGAAGTACATTATTTCACAAACCATTAACCTAATAATAAAAAATCATACACCGTGATACTCCCCATAAAAATCCTCTTCAAATGAGGTGCCGCCTCCCCACTCCTGTTTTAAGTGGAAATCGTCTAAGAGTTACTCCAAGGGATAGTATTTTATGCCTTAAATAAAATAAATAAATAAATAAATCACACCACAGAAATTGACATTCTCCCTCTAAGAGTTATTACAACTGTGCAAAGGGAGAATACACATGAAAAAGACGTAGGACACACAACCAAACCCTGTGACAGTGTCAATTGCCACAGGCGGGATTCGAACCCGCGCGGATAAGAGCTCTCTAAGTAATCGCCATCTTCTCACCTGTCGCTTTCCCTCTGAGCTATCGCCGCGGTTCGGTATGTATATCGCCTTATGTAACCACACCAAATTTCAAGTGAATCCGACAATTAGTTCAAAAAATAATAGGGGGGGGGGGGGGCGACGGACTTTTGGCCCGCACTGTATATGAGATTGCGTAGAATGTCATTTTGTTTCAAATACATATAACGGAAGGTTCCACCTACCTAACGAGTCATCTTTCAGAAATTTTCCCCCACTTAAAATTTTTTTGGAGGGAGGCACGAGACGGACGACTCGGGGTGTGTCGAAAAGGGTTCGAGCATCCTCAGAAATGCTTTCTGAGTCACCCCAAGTGTTAAAACCTGCTTACAACACCTCAGCGTGACAAATTTTCAGGGGGTGGGTTGAAGGTGGAATTTCACTTTTGACGCTCAATCGGCCATCCGTACTGAGCCCCGTCAACTTTGAAAGCCTTTAAATAATGCCCTGATATGTATTCGAGACAAAACGATATTTGACGCAGCCTCCTACAAGGGCGGAAATAGGGGGGTGGGTGCCAGGTCGATTTAGGTTTAGTCTGGAGGGGTGCCTGAGTTGTGAAAAGGTGAAAGGGAGTTGTGGCAACCCACAACAATTTATTTGGCAGCATTAGGATCGATGAATCAGCCAACCTCAAAATTTTGTGAATTCATATTTCGACATAGGGTTGGTGGTTATTAATTCCATATAAATTCAAAAAAATAGTCAAAAATGTCAAAAATAAGGCACTTTTTTGAGGTTATAACAAATTAACGAACCAGTCTATCAATTCTGACTGCGGATTCGTAATCAGCGTATAAAAAATCATGGGAATATACTATTGAGATACCCAGGCCAAAAAAAAAATGAGTGGCTGTGTAACTAATGTGGTTATTTTTTCTTCATGTGAGTATAAAAGGTTTAGCTTACTATCAAGAGTAACTAGATATATGGCAAAATCTAAAGGGTGCTCAAAATAGAGAGTCAAACTCGAGCAAATTTGTCCTTTGTTAAGTCTCTAGAATGTACTATTTTTGTATGAATTCTTTGCTTCGTTTTTTATCCTCTTTCGAGACATTCTCTGTTCCAAAAATTTGTTTTCGAGTTATATCAAATAATTTAAAAAATAGTTTTGCCTGCCAATTGCACATAACGAACGTAACACGAGGTAGACCATACCCAAGAGATATATGAGATACCCAGAAACAACCAATAATAGACTGTACTTCTTGACGCATTCATGGCTGTAGCTACAAAAGATATGAACACAATTTGTCGACCAGGGGCAAAGCTACTTTTCGTTTTTGAGTTACGTCAAGGTATTTATCAAAATAATCAAAGGGAAGGTACCATAAGTTTATTAAATACAGTGTGCTATACAGTACGAATTACCCTAATGTGTATCTAGCAGAATGAAGGGGAATGGGTAAGTCAATTTCTATCTTGAATAGATACCACCACCACCTAAACATGAGGTGGGAACCAACCACGATCCAATAGCGAGAGCAGACGTGCGGCAGGCATCTGGTTTGTCGGTAGAGTTGTTTAGGTTGAAATTTGAAATAGCATTTTATATTTTATTCGGTCTAGTTGCTGATTAGGAAAGTGCGTTATAATGAGTGTATTGTAGAAGCGTTACCAAATTTTTATGACAGGCTAGGTTACTGTTTAGCTAAAGAAGGGGACCTATTTGAATTTTTACTATAATTGCATTTATTTTCCTTGCTTGAACTGTTAATTTTGTTAGCGCGCTAAAACATATGCATATATGTGCACGAAACATCCTGCCAGTAGTGTGAAAGCTTCTATTTATATTAGTTGCTTGAAATCCGTACGTCATCGTGCATTTTGGCGCGGTAACCGACATTCGCACATTCGCACGTTTCTGTATCCAGTGTGAGTCCGGGCCTATACTAGTATTCGCTACTATACCTACACTGTACAGGGTAGATTAACGATGTTGGGAACACACTTGGAAGTTTTTAATTTGTCTAGTTATGAAATTAATTAGTGGGGTCATAACTGGTGCATATAGGTAGCCTACGGCTATATTGTCAAATCATAGTAACTGACGATGTCTCGTGGGTAAAAACAAGGTCAATTTTTTCAAATGGACATATATGAACTATACACTATACACATATTCAATAAATATGTATATAGGTAATAAGTAATTATATACACAATACACATATTTCAATAAATATGTGTATAGATAATTAAGTAATTTGCTAATGCAAATTACTTGATTAACTATAATTTAGGGTATCTAACATAATTATTAAAATGTTGCTAATATTGTTAAAATGTCTACTTAATATAACTGATCAAGAATTATCATGAAATAAAATATTTTTGTGTTTATTTTAACATCATTAAATTAATAGGGTGGGACTACCCATTCTCAGACTCGTAAGAGTAAAATTACCCGAATTTTACTCGTCCTCGAAATTCGCATGTTCTGAAGGCTGATGTAGGATTGTAGACTTATGTGGGTGAAAAAAAGATTAAAAAGATTTAATTCTTTGTAGTATAGCAAAATGTGAGTTCATTTTTTCAATTTGGAAATAAATGACAAAAGGGGCCCTTTCTCTCACAAATCCTTAGGATTTGTGAGAGGATGTGTGTGAGAGGAGTGTGGATCCTAGGATTTGTGAGAGAAAGGCCCCCTTTTGTCATTTATTTCCAAATTGTAAAAAGATTAAAATTAAAGATGAGCCAGCTAATTGGCTCATATCAGTCAGACCTACCGAAAATTACTGGATGGCATTGAAAGCCGAATTTTTGGAGCAGTACTCGCGAAAACCATCGATCCGGTTGAACAATTTTCGCAAGCTGTGAATGGAAATCCGCATGTGCCAGAAGGGATACCACTCATAGACGAAATGACTCTATGAAAGACTGGGGTGCAAAACATTTACGAAATATTTGTCTCTAAATCATCAAATAGGTAGGTACAATACAAATACAAATACAGTCTTTTTATTCTTCTTTTTTATCAAAATTTCGAGATCTACTAAAATTTGATTTTGATTTTCATAGCAGCATTTTATTTCTGCGATTTTTTAACTGCTAACTTTCAGAACACTAGAAATTTTTAAAAAAAGCGTAATAATAAAATTTATACAGTGTGGAACAGCCAAATGAGATAAATTCAGTATCTCAATTATTATGCATTTTTTTAGAAAATTCTGAGACACGTCAATTTCTAATTCTAAAATGACATCTTGCGACGTAAAAATGTCATCCCTAAATTCAACCCCCCTTCAGGTGACAGCTACAATCCCTAAATTTTCAAATTTGAAGTAGGGGCTTGTGATACTTCGTTTGAAAGGTCTTTTCATTCTCTATTCAAAATTGCTAGAGTTTTAAATTTTATTGCAGGAATTAACAAGAAAAAAAAGATTTCTCCAGCATTGGAAATTCGTTACATTAAAATAAAACTTTTATTAGTAACACTATTTGTCAATTTTAAGTTCTGAAATGTTAATAATAACAAAAAATAAATGTTTGTAATTGCCGACATTTCCTACTATAAGACAAAAACTTACCAATAAATACGTACAATTTTTTGCTTGACAATCGAACGACAAACACTAGCAAGCAGCAAAATAACAAACCTGAAATTTAAGAAGTTTGTCAGCTTTAGTGAAATTACCTAGAAATGTGCTTGTCATTGTAACAGTAGTTAACAGTTATCAGTGTTAAACTTTTTGCTTTCATTTTCATGTTGCAATTCAGAGAGATGGTTTATCTAACATAAATGCATAAGACAACGATTCTGCAGATGATTGGTTACGGAGACAGAACACGAACGCAGGCCGGGGATGTTCGTCTATTTCAAGAAAACTATCCGGAGTTGCTGCCAATATCTCAAGGTATCGTAAGTAAAATAGAGAGGCAGTTTCGGGAACGTGGACATGTACGGCAGGTAAAGAAAAATCCTCCCAATAAATTCAGTGATGATCAGAAATTGGATGTAATACTTACGCTTGAAGAAAATCCACATATTCTCCACGGATTCTCCACGTATTGACAGAAAATCAGATGCACCCATATAAACTGGTACCAACTAATGAGCTCGCGGAAGACGATTTTGATAGACGAATTCTCTTTTGTGAACAAATTATGCAAATGATAGATGACAATACTTTACAAATAGAAAATGTTTTATTTTCGGATGAATCTACATTTACACTTCACGGCCATGTTAATCGCCAAAATTGTCGTTACTGGTTGAGAGAAAATCCTCACTGGGTGAGGGAACTACACACGCAAAACCCTGAGAAAGTTAATGTTTGGGCGGGAATAATTGGAGAAAATGACATTGGTGCCTTCTTCATTGACGGCAATTTGAACGGAGAAACTTATTTAGCGCTGCTCCAAAATAATGTTGTACCGACGATGGCAAACTTGTATCCAGCTGAAGGAAACCCACAACTTCCAGATAATGCAATATGATTAGATACATAACTTAGCTTATTAGATTATATAACCTAGCAGGATGGTGCAACTGCACATTACGAAGTCCTGCGTCCTACGCTATTACTGAAGTCCTACGAAATGGCCTGCACGATCACCTGATCTCACGCCATTAGACTTCTTCCTATAGGGATATGTAAAAAGTATGGTCTACAAAACCAAACCCGACGATTTAGTTGACTTAAGAAGAAGAATAACACTTGCAATTAGGTCGATTACCCCGCAGATGTTCTAACTAACGTTAGAGGACATTTCTATTTACTTCTAGGATGCTGCCAAGATACTGGAGGCATGCATTTTGAACATCTGTTGCATTAATAATTTGATTTGTTTTTTATTTTAATGTAACGATTTTCCTACAGTAGAGAAACTTTTTTTTCTTGTTAATTTCTGCAAAAAAATTTAAAACCATAGCAGTTTTGAATAGAGAATGAATAGGCCTTTCAAAGGAAGAGTCACAAGCCCCTACTTCCGATTTGAAAATTTAGGGATTGTAGCTGTCACCTGAGGAGGTTGAATTTAGGGATGACATTTTTACGTCGCAAGATGT